TGGCCGCCGACGCCGGCCTTCAACTGGGTGGGTGGGCGGGTGGGGGAGGGAAATTGGGACGCGGCGAGCGGGTCATGGCCACCGCCCTTCAACTGGGTGGGTGGGGGAGGGAAATCGGGCCACAGCATGGGGCGCATCGCCGCCGCCGCCCCGTTCAGACGCAGCGTTCGCCTCCCAGCCAATGGCAGGGCGGCAGCCTTGAGCGGCAGCTGGCCGGCCAATGGCTGACGGAGCGCATTTTGTCTTATGCTGCATCTTACTCAATTATATATAAGGGAGAGATAATAATTTTGCTATGTTATTAGTAAATTACTTCATTACTATACAAAAGTGGCCTGTATGAAGAGGGCTTTAATGCTCTTGAGTGTAAAGGCTTGGAAGGGAAAATACAGGGAATAAAAGTGACCATTTTGTTATCAACGAACTTTATTAAGAAGGAAAACAATAATAGAAATTAAACACTATATAGAAATATTTTAAATAAAATTAAATGCTTTAAATTTATTAATTTACCATTTGTCAACCTTTCTAATGTTGGTATGAAGTAATTTCTAAAGTAAAGACAGAAAGATGTTATATTAAATTATGTAAATAGGTGTATTACATACATATAATATGCGCTGGTTGAATTAGGCCCTTTGCTATAAAACCGCCACACATTCTATCACTATAGCAAAGCAGGACAAAAGTATCTTTTCCAGAACCCAATGAACTTAAACCAGTGTTCCACTCATGCAAGGATCTTCCCCACTTTTCTCTCCCCCCAGTAGCCATTTTTCAACCCCAGGAAACTGATGGCTGAGGCTGTGGGACCCATATGGAATAAGAGTCACACAGGTTGGTAAGCAGCAGTGAGGAGGGAGAAGGGCGCTATTCCTCCTCCTTAACCCAGCAGTGGCGCTCCACTGACAGAAGAGCTAGAAAGGGCAATTTTGCTCCCTTCCTCCTTACTGCAGCACACCTGATCTGTATGGCTATGTGGGTCCCAGAACCCTCAGAATCAACGTTTCCATGGTTGGATATGGCTGCTGGGGGGAAGGGGATACCCAAAACCATCAGCATCTTCTACTGACATACATCCTACCCAGTGTCTAGGACCTGGCATTTTGGCAGCCTTAACTGATGTTTTAGGAAGGATACAAAAACAAAACAGCAATGGGAGAAAGAAGTAACTCTAGTCAATCTTGGTGGATTGATACGATTTCACTTAAGCAATGCATTTCCCCCCAAACTCCCATCCTCTCACTAAAAAGCTTACAAATTCTACAGGGGTAGCCTTATTAGTCTTGCAGCAAAAAAAGAAAAGAAAAGACATGTGGCATATTAAAGACCAACACATTTTAATTCTAGGATAAGTTTTCATGGACTAAATAAAATTAAAACTTGCTGGTCTTTTAACATCTCACAAGACACCTCATTTTAGATTGTTCACCAGCACCTTTTGCCACACTGTTCCATGGTTGCAATCTGCCCTGACACACCCCATCATCACCTTACTACAAAACTGTCTTAGGCATGACCTTTACCAGAACTTTATGAGGAAGTCTTGGTTATGAAGAACTCTTGGTCCCATGCTAGAATGACCACAGATTCCAGGAAGATGATTTCACTTATTTGCTTCGTGATAAAGTGTTGAATCTTCACAAGGTTTGCATGCATCCTTGCACAAAAAAACCAGACAGTTTGCCACTACATTTCCCAGAAAGCCCACCAGTTGGTCACCATCTATTCATCACAATGGCAATCTGACTCAGAATGTGCAAGAATTCCTAGCAATTCTGTTTTTCAATCATTCATGGGGACTGGGCACCGCTTTGGCAATACTGAATTACAGTAACTCAGAGAGAAATTTTCCATTTTCCTTACATCAAAAGGAGAACTTTAAGAAGCATTTATCTGATGTGGTCTTTGAATGGTCAACTAAAAAGCGGCACAGTGGCAGGATTCCACTGAGTTTGGATCAATATTGCTCTATAAATCTATATAAAGAGAACCCTGATACCTTTAAAAAAGCCTGATAAGGGTCCATTTAAAGATAACAATATTTCCTATCCAAATTTCCTAACACATTCTTGATGCATTGAATAGCTCTTCCTTCCCACACTTCATCAGCCCATGACTATATTTATAGGCATATCAGCAGAAGCACGATTTGCACTAATCCCTTTCTGTAACACACAGTTTATATACATTCTCTTTCAGTGTTTTGTAACAGGGTCTTTCCAATGCACCATTGTCCCAGAGTGCTTTGTAAACAGAAAGGTGACAGTGAGGCCCAAACCTGCTAAACACACAACGGTGCCACTAGTCAAGACACTGATATCCCTTCTCTTTAATATTCTCTACTAGCAGTTTCAGGGGAGCCTGGTTTTGGATCAAGACTACTATATGATAAGAAGAGTTAAACTTTTCTCTCTCTGTAACTTAGGCCATGGAAATGCTACAAGCTAAAATGCAAGTTTTCCCAGGTGACAAACAGGACCCATGGGGGCACAATTTACATGGGGAAAAGGCATGGAGAGTAATAAAAAATCCATACCCAGTACTACAAGTCTTAATCCAAACTGGGCCCTCATCATTATTCATAACTTTTTATAGAGAGGGGAGATTGGTATAACCCTTAGACACAATCAACCTTCTCAAAAATGCACTGTTAATATACATGAAGGTCAATACACAGCACTACAGGGCTCTCTCACTTACTTTATACTGCTACTAGAAATAATGCCCATTGCAGAAATAAATACAACGGGATCTAGAAAGAGGCTCTGGGAGAGTGCTCTGGCTTTGGGCAAACAGTGTCATTTTCCTGTGGCGACCTCAGCAGGGTTTAATGACAGAGTCCACTGTTTTCTCCAGAGAGACTGATCTCTGCTACCTGAAGAGCATTTGTATGTTTGAGTTATCTGTAGCCCTCACTTGGAGAGTGGTAACCATTGTTACCCATTCTCCTCTCCCCTATGAGGTATGTTATGCAACTGAAAATCCCAACTGCCTTGCGGGGGGGGGGGGGAGTTTGAGGTGTGGAATGGACTGAAGTCCAATCAGCTTCCATATGCAAAAGACCAGGTTGTCGCAGCAGTTGTGGTGTGGGCGGGACCCGGGCTTTGCCTTCTGATTGGTGGCGATATATGCTGAGGAGCAGTGCCATCAGCCATACACTAAGGGAGTGCCTTTTAGAATTAGAACTTTGGCACCCACTATTCAATTATATATAAGGAGAGATACTGAGAGAAAGCAGCCGAGGATTGCCATTGGATGAGGAGGACAGATAATGTCCATTGTAAGAGATGACACACATGCTTCTCTAGATTTCAGACCTAATGCACTGAGCTCACTAACCCCCTTACACATTTGCAGAGGATTACATATAAAAGACAGTGGGGAGAAGTTTTCCTTAGTAAAGAGCAGAGTGCCACTTCACAAACAACTCTTAAGCTTTACCAGCTTTCAAAAGCCACACATATTGTTTCATGGGAAAGTATTACTGCTCTTCAGGGAAACAGCAGCCGTTACTAACACTCCTTGGAATCATTATGAATATGTTGTGTGCTTATATCTTTATGTTCAAGGTTTTTGAAGGAACGGTGACATTTCAAATACAACCACTATGCTGGCATGGAGTAGCAGATAGCGGACTAGGATAATGGGAGATCCAGGGTCAAATCCTCACTTGTACCTCAGGAGCTCACTGGGTGGCTTAGGTCAGTCACATTCTCTCTGCCCAGCCTACCTCACAGTGCTGTTGTTGTGAGAAGACAGTGGGGAGAAGAACAATGCTCTAAGCCACTATGAGTCGCCATTGCAAAGCAGAGTATAAATGAATATATAAATAAATGCATAAATTAATACGAATGCAACATGTTGCAAATCCTTTTCTAGTTAACGAACGCAT